CGGGCTTCAAAGGTGCAGGAGCTGCGCCGTGCTCTTTTTTTCTCTCCAGCTCACTATTCTACAGTCGAGGAGGCGGGCTCGTGGAGCATGTCTTATGCGGACCAAAACGAGCAGCAATCGGAGGCAGAGGCCGTAGAAAAGGTGGACTCGTGGACCACGTCTTATGTGGACCAGGACGAGCAGCAAGCTGAAGCAAAGGTCGTCGAGTTGGTGCTCTCGCTGCTTGATGCTTCAGAGGGCGAGGCCTCGGGGGATGATCTCGATCTGAGCAGCATTGACGCCAGCAGCAGTGACGCCAGCAGCAGTGACGCCAGCAGCAGTGACGCCAGCAGCAGTGACGCCAGCAGCAGTGACGCCAGCAGCAGTGACGCCAGCAGCAGTGACGCCAGCAGCAGTGACGCCAGCAGCAGTGACGCCAGCAGCAGTGACGCCAGCAGCAGTGACGCCAGTGGCAGTGACGCCAGCAGCAGTGACGCCAGCAGCAGTGACGCCAGCAGCAGTGACGCCAGCAGCAGTGACGCCAGCAGCAGTGACGCCAGCAGCAATGACGCCAGGGTCTTTGGTTCTGAATCCTCTAGCACGAGAAGCTTCTTCAGTGACAGCAGCAGCAGCAGCAGCAGCGGTGACTCCAGCAATGACGCCAGCGTGGTCCGTTTGGAGGCTTACAACACGAGCAACTTCTTCAGTGACAGCAGCAGCAGCGGTCCTGGTGCTGCCCTCAAGCCGCTGCAGGACGGGTCAGGGGTTTGACTCAATCTCGCGTGACTACCTTTTCAACACGCTACGGAAGCTGGGCTTGACGGAGTATTTGTGACCTGGACGGAGGGGCTGCACAAGGATACAGGGACGCGCCTGCACATTAACGGGTGGGCGTGGAAAAAAGTAGAGGTGGAAAAGGGGGTGCGCCAAGGATGTCCGCTGGGGGCCGTACCTCTTCATTGGCGCAGTTGAGCCGTTGTGCCAAGGGATTAGTTGGGAAAAATTGGGAGTCGGAAAGAGGGGTGTGGGTAAGCTGGCGTACCTGGGCTACGCCGATGATACCTCTCTCCCCTACTACACGGGGCGGAGCAGCTGGAGACGGCGGCGAAGGTGATGTCAGATTTCGGAGAAGAGTCGGGGCTGAAGGTGAACGAAGGGAAAACTGTGAACTTCTCACTAAGGAAAAATCGGGGAAAGCCAACGCCTCACGTTTTGCGATTTAAATGGGTGGACAAGGATGAGCCGGAGCGACTGCAGGGGATCTGGATTACACCGAATGGTGACCCGACTCCATCCTGGAACAAGGCATTGGACAGGGCGAAGGGGGAGTTAGCGAAGTGGGAGATGCAGCACCTGACAATATCGGCGAGAGTGACGATAATTAACAACTACATCACACCGATCTTCCTCTTCCAGGCGAAGTTTACTTACCACCGGTTGCCATCTGGAAGAAGACTCACAAGCTGTGTCACACCTTCATGTCGAAAGGGGAAGCGGTAGAGGAGAAGCGCTTCATCCTCTGGAATATATGCTGGCCTGCACGCCTCGGAAGGATGGGGGGCTGGGTTTGATATGTCCCGAGCAGAGGGTCGACAGTATCGCCATCCGAAACATCTGCCGACTGGTGCTGAAGCCAAGCTCTTTCAAGAAGTGTCTTGCGGAGAAGGCGTCAGAAATTCCCCTGGGGCTGGACACCATCTTCGCTCACAAATCACTGCTGGACCACTGGGAAAAAGGGAGCGCACGATGGAAGGAATTAGTCGGGAAATTTTGGGACTCGCCGCTATGCAAAACACGCGCTCTGACAAACTGTTGGGAGGTGGAGCAAGAACACTTGGCGTTCAACCCGAGCATCCCCTTCAGAGGCGCAAGCCCCTTTGGGAACCAGAAGGGAACAGAGGCACTGCTGGGGATACGCATGGGAGACCTGATCAAGAAATCATGGGATGGAACGTGCGGCCTCAAAAAGTTGGAAGTCCTGACAAGGGAATTGGGGAGCAAAGAAAAGGCGAAGTGGGCGTTGAAATCTTTCAAAGCGGCACCCTCGGACTGGAAAGAGATGGTGCTAGCAAAGCTGTCGAGCGAGGAGGTGGTGGCCTCGGTGAAGCTACTGCGGACGCACAATAGCACAACCGGAAATTTCACCTACTGGCAAGTCGAGGAGGCGAAGGGCGACAAAGTGGTCGGAAGATTGTGTGTCGTGGAGGACGGCGGGCGTTTCACGCCTTACGTGGGGAATCTCACGGTGGAATTCGATCTACGAAGCGGGGGGCCTATGTTCACGGAGGGCTGTGTGTTCCTGGGGCCCAGGGAGATGTGCGAACGAAACTGCTACTATCAGAGGCGTGTGAAGGAGGGGAATTGATCTCACTGAGGGGAATGAGGAAGGTGGTAGCAAGCTCGGCTGGCACGAAGGAGAACTAAAGGAGGTGGGAAGGGCAGAGAAGAGAAATTGAGTGGGACAGAGTCATTGAACAGAGGAACTCACTTGCCACCCCACGACGGGCACGTGAAGTTCTTCTAAAGCTCCACTGTAGACATCTGCAAGTGGGCTCGAGGCTGTTTCTCATGGGGGTGGTCTGCCTGCACTGTCGGGGAGAGGAAACCCCAGATCATTGCCTTCTCGGATGCCCTGCAATGCAGGTGGTGACAGACTTGCTGAGACGAGGGTTGGCTGCAATGAACCTGGGGTTAGCGTGGCAAGATCTTGAAGATCTGCTCTCCATGCAAAGAAGCACGAAGTTAGGTTTTCCCGAAGGGGCGTGGATTGCAACCTTTCTGCACCAAGTATGGCTAGCGTGGAGGAATGAGACTTTCCAGGCCGGGAAGGTGGCTCGGCAGACGGTGGTAAATTTTGTCGCACACGCGAGGGTGTACTGCTTGGCGCGCAGGGTGACAGCGTGGAAGAAGGGGCAGGCATTGAATGGTGACTGGGCACACCTGGCAGCCGATGAGGCGACGGTGATGCGGCGTATCTGCAGCAGCGGCGCACCGCTGACGTGGAAGATCAGCTTCAACTCAATTTGTGACAACCCCAAAATGACACATCAACCACCGTAGCTGCCTTAGAGGGGATCTGTGATACTGCAAATTGTAGCGCTCCCCTCCCTGAAACAGTTGCGGCTGCCGCTGTCTGCACATTTTTGTAATGTATGTGATATATATATATATATATATATATATATATATATATATATATATATATATATAACAAGAGGCGACGAAATCGTCTTAGGGTTGCGAAGCAGCAGGTTGTAACATGATTTATTTTTTTTATATGAATTACAATGTCATTTACAGACAAACTTGACATATAATATATGATTATATAACTGAATAACTTTGGTCGTTTAGAGTACAGATTTGGTTGTTTCACAATGTATAGAACATACGATTGTTGAGTTTTTTTTTTTGTTTGGTAAATTTTTGTGTGTGGTTATCCTTGTTATGTTCATATTTTTTGTGTTTCATTCAGATTGTCGTATAGTTATGTTGTGTTTGATTTTATTATCGTAATGTTATCGTACTTTGACGTCAGAAGGCATTTAGATTGTTTGCATGACAATATCGACAAACAAGTGTATTTCACGTCAGCAATTTCGCGCGGAAGTCTCTGTCTGCGATAGTTGACACCAGGAATCGAACCACAATCTTAGTGCGGTCGAAGATCGATCTTCCTCGACTTTGCACTATCGATCGAGGGAGGTGACGCGTCCTTAGGGTGCTTTACGTTACTCTATTTCATAGTAACGGGCAACCACCACGTTGGGCTGATTTTCCTTGATGAGCCCGCGGCAGCGATCGGATCCGCGCACGCCATCGGCGGAACAATCATCGTCTTAGTCGGCGTGGCCTTCGCGGTAGGATTAGCGGAGAGCACGGGGAGGAGAGGGGCGACGGTGATTTCACTGTATCCATGGGAACCCCAGAAGTAGCAGCAGCGGTAACAGAGGCAGCAGCAGCAGGAGTAATCAGCTCCTCCGCTTCTGCCGCGGCCCCCGCGCCCCCCAAGCTGCTGGCCGACGCGCTCGACCTCCTCGACGCGGCGTCGCGGCTCATCGCGGACGTGCGCAGCGGCGTGGATGTGCTTATAGAGGGGGTTGTGACCGCAGCGGAAGCAGGAGGGGAGAGATGGGGAGGCGACGAGGAGGGCGCGGGCGGAGCGGCGGAGGTGATGGGGGAAGTGGAGCGGCGGATGCGCGGGACCGTGGCGCAGCTGCAGGCCGTTGGTGAGGGGGGTTGGGGGGGGGTAAGGTGTGGGGCCGGCGGGAGGTGGGGGGATTGCTGGGTTTGGTTAGGGCAGAGATGTGGGGAGAGGGGAGGATGGGAGGAAACACAGGATGTTGCAAACATTGGTAATGCTGGGGGGAAGGGACAGTGAGGGTGGGTGGGTGCGGGTGATGAGGGATGAGCCAGTTGACGGCGCTGGTGGGTGGTGAGTAGGGGCGGGCGGATGGGCACAGAGGCAACACGCTGTTGCGGCGAGGAGGGGGGTGGAGGGACGTGCATGGTGGTTGCTGGGGGTGCGTCCAGGTCCAGGGGTGGCCCGCCAGATGCGCATGTGGGGGAGCGGGGGGAGTGAGAGGGGAAGAGGGGACAAGGTGCTCCCACCCTTGCGTGTGGCACTCCCCCAGCCAGCACAACTTCCTGTTCCCTGCATTCACCCTTGTCTCTCGTCACAGCACCAGCCTCACCCCACCACCCTGCACGCCTGGTGTCCTCCCCATGCACTCCCTTTCCCCAACGCCTCCCCGTGTCATGCGCTCCTCTCATGCGCTCCTCTCGTGCACCACATGCCAGGCACGCAGCTAGCGCAGCTGGGCACGTGGGACCCGCTCAGCACGCCTTCCCCTCCCGTGGCGCCCACAGCAAGAGGTGCAGGGGCAGGGGGTGAGGAGGGGAAGGCGGCGGTGGGGTCGCATGGTGATGTGAAAGAGGGAGGGGGAGGAGGAGGAGGAGTGGGAGGAGGGGAGGGAGTTTATAGGGATGGAGTTGCGAGGAAGGTGGTAGGGGGGGTGAGGATGGGGCCCCTGGTGTGCGGCGATGGCATGCTGGTGAGCTACTCGTGGAAGCGCCACATCGCTGCCCATGCTGCCACCACCGCTGCCAAGCGCACCGGGTGAGCACGGAGGGGCGTGCTCTGTGTGTGTGTATGCTGTGTGTGTGTGTGTGCTGCGTGTGTGTATGCTGCGTGTGTGTGTGCTGCGTGTGTGTGTGCTGCGTGTGTGTGTGCTGCGTGTGTGTGTGCTGCGTGTGTGTGTGCTGCGTGTGTGTGTGCTGCGTGTGTGTGTGCTGCGTGTGTGTATGCTGCGTGTGTGTGTTTCTCCTCTTCCCGGCTACTCGCCATCTGCCTGCAAATCCCACCAATTGCTGCTCCTCTGCGTGCTTCATCTCAATATCACACCACTGCCACTCCTCTCATTCCAAATTCACATCTTTGCTTGCGTCTCTATTCCCCCGTCTCCCCGTCCCCTCCTGTCCCCACCCACCAGGGTCGCTTTCACAGCCTTTCAGCGCCACAGGCAGCGCTGCTTCCCTGCCCTCGCTCCGCCGCCTCTCACGCTCACTGCACTCGCCCGCCACCTCGCCCACCGACCCACAGCCTCTCGTCCTGCCCCCACTGCTGTCCATGCCACAGCACCTGCTCCTGCTGGTGATGGCGCGGGGGTAGTCGCGCTGCAAGGCGGGCCCACCAGTGCTGCCGCTGCTGAGGCCGCTGCTGCCGGCTCCGCTGCCCCGCCTGCTGATGCTGCTGCCGGCACTGCGGGCGTGAAGGTGGAAGGGGCAACAGTGGCTGGGGGAAAAGGGGCGGGAGCTGGGGAGGGAAAAGGGCAAGTGGGGGCAGCAGGCGCAGGTGCAAGTGGAGAAGGCACGTGTGCTGTCACCAACACTACTGCCCCTGCTGCTGCTGCTACAAGCTCGGCAGGAGCAGCAGAAGGCACCTCCATCAACACAGGTGCTTCTGGGGAAGGTACACCTGCAGCTGCTGCCGATACATCCGCTGCCGTTTCCGAACCTGGACGCGATGGTCCAGGACCAGGGTTGGGCCGAGCCACCCCACCAGCAGGCTTGGGGGTGATGGGGGCGCTAGGTGCGGTTGGACTGGGTCGGGGGAGGGTCGGGGGACTGGTTCGGGGCCTTGGGGCGTTTGGGCGGATGGGGGGAATAGGAGGAAGTATAGGGGGGAGTATTGGGGGAATGGGGGCAGGGGTGGGGGGAGGGAATGCGATGGAGGCGGACGACCTGGGGGGGGGCGACGAGATGATGATGCTGGGGGGCGACTTTGGCGGCGATGACATGGACGTGGATGGGCGCGGGGGGGACGATGGGGGGGACGGGGGCGGTGCACGGGGCGGGGCACAGGGGGGGGTAGGAGGGGCGGAGGGAGAGGGAATAGTGGGGGAGAGGAATGAAGGGCACAGGCCAGTTTCTGCTGCTGGGGAAGGAGGTAGGCTAGAGGGCGACGGGGGTGGGGCGGAACAAGCAGAGGGGGCAATGGCGAAGGGAGGTGAAGGGGGGAGTGAAAGCAAGGCAGGGGTAGGTGGTGCTGGTGGAGGGGAACGAGCAGGGCCCACGGGTGCGGTGACGGGAGAGGGGGTGAGTGGCGCTGGTGATGGTGATGGTGGCGCTGGCAATGTGGGTGGCACCGGCGACGCTCATGGTGCCGGTTGTGCTGTTGATGCTGATGCAGCGGGAGGCAAGGGCGTGAAGAGGAGGCGCGGCGAGGGGGATGGCAGGGACGGTGGCATGGAGGGGTGCAGCGACCCCGTGCTGCGTGGCGTGGTGCAGCGCGTGCGCATGGCGTGCCCCTCCTTGCACGTCGCCCTGCTGCGCCACTCCTCCTGGCCGTCGCACCTCATGGCGCACTCCGGCACATGCGCTGCTGCTGTGCATGATGGGGGGGGAAGGGCAGGGCGAATGGAGAGAGGGAGGAGCGACGAGGGAGGCGAGAACACGGAGAGGGAGAAGGGGCAAGTGAAGCAAGAGCAAGGAGAGGCGAGAGAAGAAGCATCCCCATCAACGAGAGATGCTTTAGAATCTTCCTTGTTGCAAGCCTTGCCCGCTCACAGGCGAAGACTGCGGCTCGGGGGAGCCCAGGTCGTGTGCCCACCAGGAGTGCTTGAGGCGAAGGTTCCTGGGGCCTTCCGTGCAGTCATCTCCCTCATGCCAGCTGGCAGCCCACGAGTGGATGGCGTCGCAGTGTTTGGAACAAACGAGGTGGGTGTGCCGGGTGTGTGGGGCAGGTATAATCTTCAGGCCGGGAAAAAAAATCAGTGGAGGTGAGACACGGTTTGTGTGACATTGGGTGTAGGAGTATGGCTGCATTCAACATTTGAGTTTGTGCCTTGCAAAAGGTGCAGTTTGTACACGATGTTTTTTCAATAATCGTTTTTTCTTTCCAACGGGCTGCTCGACCGAGCGTATCGAAAATATCGGCGCGTATCACGAGTTTTTGTACATATGATAACGGATACGCGTGATTTGATCATTACCTTGAGCTTTTTTTATTCAGCATAACCCGCCTGTCCCCTCCACATGCGCCATGCCATGGCAGGTGGGGCCGCATGTGCATGCATGGGGGCAATCACACCACATGGCCTTCCAACTCGTCACTGTGAGTAACCTGCCGTGCAGCGATGCCGTGCAGCGATGCCTTGCAGCGATGTCTTGCAGCTTGGCATGTCCATTATCCAAACCTCCACTACTACACTCTTTCTTCCCATCCCTGTTTTCCTCCCTCTGTCATACTATTTTTTCGCCCCTCTATTTTCCTCTCTAATCTCCTATCTCTCTCCCCTCAGGCGCAAGCACGGCAAGTGGTGCACAGGCTGCGCTGTGCTGCCACACCACATCCCTCCGCAGCAGCAGGCAGCATGCCGCCGCTGCAAGGCCTGCTGGTGAGACCTCCTCAACCCGCTCCCTTTCTCCTGTGAGCCCGTGACCTGGAACTATTGATAAGGTAACGTAACCTCTAGGTTGGGCTGGGTTCGGAAGGGCTAGGCTGGATGACAGGAAGGACAATATCCAATGGAATTGCCTGAATTAGGGCTTGGTCGTCGGAGAATTCGGATAACCACGTCTGGTGAGCATTAAAGGTTGTGAAGTGAGCGAGCCTTTGTTGAACGTGTAACACTCAAGGCACAGCACCACTGTTATTCCAGCAAGTGCCAGCACTAAGTGGCGCGGTTTGCAGCGGGCACGCTAGCTGAGGGAATGGGCAGCGGCACAAAAGGGTCGCGCTGGGCCGAACCGCGCCTCTTAATGCTGGCGCTTCATGCGGAAGCAGGGCAGCAGACAATGGGGTGGGGGAAGAGAAACAGCATTTGTGACCCACTCTTGCCTGCTGCATTTGTGATCCATTCTTGCTTGCTGCATTTGTGATCCATTCTTGCCTGCTGCATTTTCTGTGATGTGCTCCCACCAGGAATGGTTGCACTCCTTCCGCACCCTCTTCCAGCAGCCCTGCAGGTGAGGCAGTGAGGCAGTGCAGGTAAGGCAGTGCGGGAGTGGCCTTTCAACTCAAGCCTGTGGCACTCTGCTAACATGTTGCAAACATGTGCAACTGTGCACGTGTTTCTGTTTTCCCTGTACTCTCCCTGTCCATGCACCTAGCAGTCACTACCGCGTTAATTGTTCTCTGGCCCATGCGTTTCCGTTCATCACCCTTCACCATCCTTCCACTCATTTCCGTCTGCCTCCCAGACCACCTTTCCTCAGCCCCTGTGCTGCAGACACTGCTGCTCTCCCCTATCTGCCCTCTTGTGTCTGTCCTCACAGGGCTACTGCCTCATCCGCATTTTCCTTCTTCTCCCCACCGCCTCCCCAACCCTCACATCCCATGCGCGTGCCATAGCGCATGCCATCGCATCATTGCTCTGCACCACCCCTCCCGCCAGCTGCTACCGCCACTCATCCGCCCCATGCCTGCTCCTGCTGCACCTGCCACTGCTGACACTGCCTCTGATGCTGCTGCCACTCATGCATCTGCGGCTGCTGCTGATGATGCCGGTGTTGCTTCAGGAGCTTTTCAAAAGGGGGTGCTTCTGGTGGATAGAGCAGGCATGGGGGCCGAGGAGCCAGTGGGAGTGCTTGCATGGCACTTGGGATGTGCTTCTGGTATTCCCTGCTTGTAACTCCATACAAACGAATATGGAAGGTTCGACTCATCTGGAAGGTCGTTGGGTCAAGTCTCATGTCGTAACGATCAATAACTAAACAGAATCCATTGCAAAGCATTTTTTCAGGGTAAATTACTCTTTTTTTGAGAATCACAGCCTATTATATAGATCACACCATACGATATCCAAATTAAGGCCCTAAATTAGCTACAACACGAGATTCCAAGCACCCTATCCACAGACCCCACTACATTGACCTGACTAGCATTATCCCATTTCGGGTCATTACCAGATCCTTTTTTCTAACATGCCCCCTCCAACCCCATCATAGCGCCAGCACACACCAACCTCCACATGTGCCTGACATGATATCAAGCTACGCCCGTCCCAGAGCCGCTACGAGCAGGAGAAGCTGGAGTTGAGCAGAGCCCTCACTCCTGACCTTCGCCTTCTCCTGCTGCTGCTGCCGCTTCATCGCCTCCTGCCTGCTCTCCCCCCCCCACTTCAGCAGCAGCATCAGCCGCCGCTTCCTCTGACGCACCTTCAGGAGCCTCTGCAACCTCGGCAGCCTCAGCAGCCTCAGCAGCCTCGGTGGGAGCAGCATCTTCTGCCCGCCCCTCAGGCTCAGTGTCAGCAGCATCGGCAGAACCGGCACCATCGTCAGCAGGACCACCATTGTCACCAGCAGCAGTGCCATCGGCACCAGCGGCTGCAGAAGCCGCAGCAGCGGCCGCAGCCTCAACAGCAGCAGCGACAAAGTCGTCAGCATATGGCTCGCCCTCCCTGTGCCCGTCTTCCTCAACCACCGCCTCAGCAGCCCCATGCTCCGCCTCAGCGTCCGTCTCCCCATGTCCTCCCCTGTGATCATCACCCGCATCACCTCCAACCCCGTCATTTCCCCCCTCCTCTGCCTCGCCACGCCCACCACCGCCACTCCCTCCTTCACCTGCCAGGCCAGTCGCCACAGTCTCTGCTTCGTCTTGCTGCATCTGCCTGCCATCCGCTTCCTCCTCGTCGTGCTGTGCCTGCCTCTTGTGCGCCTGCTCCTCCTCCTCCCCCACCTCCACCTCCTCCACCTTTCTCTTCAACCCAACCATCCCCTCCGCAATAACCCCTCCGTCCACTCCTTCCCCCACAGCGTTCGCCTGCTCGTTTGCGCCACCACCGCCCGCCCCCACCTCTTCCCCTTGCCCCACCGCTGCCTCACCCGCGGGCCTCCCCTCGCCCTCTCCTGGAGCAGCACCGCCGCTCATCGCCACCTTGTCCCACACCATGGGCTGCTCCTGCGCCGCCGCCACCTCCGCGCTCCGCATCGCCTCGCGCAGCCACGCGTGGCGGTTCCGCGCCGCGTTCGGCTGCGTCCACGCCAGTTGCCGCCGCCCCTGCCGCCCTTGCCCGGCGGCACCCGCACCGTACCCAACGGCGTCAGCGCGTGTGTCCAGCGCGCCCACGCCGGCGGCCGCATTCGCTGCGCCAATCTGCGCGCCGTGTCCCCCCGCCGCGCCCGCACTGGCGGAGAAAGATCCGGCGGGCTCGAGAGTGATGCCCGGGTGAACCACCAGGTCCGATCCGACGGCAGGAGCGGGCAGCATGCCGGGCGCGGCGGCTCCGCTGGGGTCGTACTCCGCCACGGGAACGGCGACGGCGTGCTGCATCCCCGCGCCACTGCCGCGCCCGGACATCCCCGCGAACCAGTTCTTCCGCCCCCACTTATGCCGCCCGCGCGATCCGAGGCCCGACGTGGGGCCCACAGGTGCCGTCGTTGTCTCCCCGCCATGTGCGGCGCCCAGCGCGCCCGCAGCGCGCTCGGCGGCGAAGACGGTGGTGTAGGCGACGGGGAGAGTGTCGTCCGCCACGCCGTCGCGCCCCATGGACGGACTCACGGACGCCGGCGCGAAGCGCAACGGCCGCGCGGGCGGGTGCAGCGGGCCGACGACGCCCGCCTTGCGGCGATTCTCGAGCTCCGCCTCCCACGCTCCGCGCAGCGCCGTCTCGCGCTCCATCCAGCCGGGCATGGCTCGGCGCGGCGCGAATAGGCGGTCGATCTCGGAGTAGGCGGCCTCGAGGAAGAAGGAGACGACGTCCATCTTGGTGACGGTGATGCCGCCGCTCGCCAGCGACATGCACTCCTTGAGGCCCTCGATCAGCGCGAACAGCGCCGGCGACAGCCGCACCACCGCTTGCTTGCCGTCCGCGCGCTTGTGATAGTCGCCCTTCCGTCGCATGGACGCGGTTAAAATGCCCGCGTTGCCGGCCATGGCGGCGTTGGGATCCATTCTGATGCCCGCGTACTGAGATGGGTCCATTCGATGCGCGGCTCGTATAGTTGAATCCAGAAAACGGTTGCTGCTGCAGGTAAAATAAACGAGTGATCGCTGGGGTAACTAAAGTTACGCGGTTGGAGATGCAGTTGGCGAGAGAGGATTCGTGGATCCAAGAGCTATGGTGACAGCGAGCCCCTGCGATAGTGGAAACTACGAGAAACGAGGAGCGGTTACCAAGAAACGAGATGTGGGAGGAAGCGAGGCATCTGTAGGAGAGTTGTATCTGCAGTTACCAAAGACGCCTGGCTTCTCAAGTTACGCACTAACCCTAGGGTTTCCCTCAGGTGCTTCGCCTCACGTTACCCAACTAACCGGAGAGATGGCGAGGAGAGGTAATGTGTTCACGTGCGGGGAGGGTGTGTGGTTGGCGGGGAGGAAGTGATGATAATCGAGGGGGGAGGACTCCGCTCCGCGATGACCTTCCTGACGATACGGTCGCGGACTGCGATGCTGTACGAACACATTTGCCGCGATGTCTTACACGGCCAATAGGAATGCTGCGCGGGGAAATTTGGCGACGATCACGACCTAGTGAATGGATTGGAGGGTCTTCGCGAGAATCACTTCCCTTTCGCGCACCGCAATTTCAGCAAGGATTGCACCTCGATCCAGCAACGGCGTTCTGGACCAATCAGAAGGGGGATCAGCAGTATCATTTTCCTCCCCGATTGGGGGAGTCAACGTCCCACATTATACATTGCCAATGCTCCGTGGCTCAGGAAGGTTTTACACGGTGGATATGGGTTATCAATATTCAGAGTTTAGCAACATCAGCCCGATCAAGAGTGCAATTGTGTAAGGAAATGTAATTCCTTAAAGCCCGAGTTCTACATGGCACTTACGGAATTTCTCGGCATTCCTTACGGAGTCCGGCTACATCGCGTACAGCAACATTCGTTGTTCGCCCGTTACTGCTAACGGGACTTCGCCAACTTCGCGCGCACTGTTTTGCCAAACCACGCACTGCTGGCCCGGCCGTGTCGGCCTACGCTTCGGGACTAGCCCGAACCTCGCTGCCAGCATCGCACTAGCTAGCTCGCACGCACCGCGTTACCGTTTGCATGTTTCGCGTATAAATGTTCGCTCATGCCTTCGCTCACATTTTGTACTCGTTTGACACCTTAGTGCAATCCTCGCTACCTCGATCCATTGCACCCGTAACACTTGGTATCAGAGCTACAATCCTTTTCGAACCGCGCATCTCCGCACCCCAGGAAATCAACTTTTGATTTTTCACTCGAAGGGACTCACGCACCTTAGAACCTAGGAGCCGCTGTCCTCGCGTTCTCTCGTAAACGCGTGCAGCCACGACTGCGCCTAGACTAAGCCGAGCCGACGCCCTTCGCCATAGCTGAGCATATCGACGTCACCACCCTCACGCAGGACCGTCCGAACAATCTGCTGCGACAACTTCGCGAGAGCTCCGAAGAATCGCGGCGCTGACGGCAGAACGCTCGTCCCTGCAAAACGACCTCACACGAGCACAACAAGTACAATCTCAAGCACTTGGCACTCCGGAACAGCCCGCACCACAAGCATCGCAACACGGGAGCGTGGGGGAACCCGCGAGCGCGGCCAGTGATGGCGTCATCCGCCCCGACGGAGACCACGACCACGGCGCGACACACCCCAAGGCGACGAATGCGGACCGAAGCCAGCCTCGCGTCACGATTTCGACACCGACCGACGATTCGGCACTGCCGTCACCGATGCCGCTGAAGCCGCAGCGTTCACCATGCTTCGATCCCAGTCAATGGGGTGGTCCTATCGTTCAGGCGTGGTTGTTCACGATGAACGCATTTTCCGACGCCAACTACGTCTCGGAGGATACGGCGAAAATTCGCTACGCCGTGTTGCTGCTGCGAAGACCCGCCATGGATTGGTGGCGCGTCATCGTCACGAAGCCGATGGACTACGCGACTCTACCGACACGGGAAGGACAAACCGGACCCTGGGCGCCGTCGTATTTCGTGGAGGTGCCCCAATATCGCACGTGGGACGCGTGGCGCGAAGGTCTGCACGCGCG